CAGTTCCACAGGCTGGAAGGCCAACAAAGTTCTCAGTTGGCTCAAATCACGGTATTGGCAGGGTGGCACGACTTTCTGGAGGCTGTAGGGGTGAATCCATTTCCTTGCCTTTCCCCGTTGTTAGAGACTTCTCCCGGGGTTGTAACTCCTTTCCTCCATCTTCAAAGGTGGCAATGTTACATCGCTCTGAACTTCTGTGCTGGCTCCCCCCCTTCCACACTGAAGGACACTGTGATTACACTGGGCTCGCACTGATAATTCAGGACAATCTCCTTCTTTAAAAGTCAGCTTATTAGCAACCTTAATTCCGTATGTGAATTTAATCTTCACTTTAGTTATGAAAGGTAAAATATTCACAGGCTCCAGACATTAGGATGTAAATTTCCTTGGGGGGCTATAATGCTGCCCACCATATACCAAGTGACCCTTCCCAATCTGGACAACTATATACTTGAAGACCACAGCATCCCAGGGGAATTACCATAGAAGAACCAGAAAACGAAGCCAAATGCATCCGCTTTTTTTTTTTCATTTGTGGGTTCAGAAGTTGAGGTCTAGATAGAAGGTGAAGTAAGATGATAATAATGACAGTAATGGGAAATCTGTGATATGTTAGAGCACTGGCTTCTCCACCCTCCACCTGCCCCCCACCCCAAAGAAGGAAGGATCACTTGAGCATGGGAAGACAGGAATGTTGGAAATGAAACAAGATGGTCTTGAAAATGGTAGAGAATGTCCTTCAAAGAGATCCTGCACTTCATATGCACCAGGCTTGCCCACGAGGTGCTAAAGAGGATGACGAGCTATAGAAGATCAGGTGAATTTGAGGGACTGGAAAGCAAAGAGTGTTCCTGCCTCACTTGCCAGATAGCACCTGGGGGGATGGCCGCACAGTCAAGTGCTCTTCCTTGGCATGACAGCAGCCAATGACAAGTGCCTTCATGGTCGGCCTAAATCAAGAGGTCTTCAGCTGGTTCCTCTCAACACTCATGCCCCCAGTGTGGTCAAGAGGAGTTGCTGTCCTCATGCCCTCAGCAGGGTGGTAAAGCTATCTGATGCACAAAGCCAGCTGGCCTCAAAGGACCTTGTGGTGGGGATGGAGAGAGCAAGGCAGACGATGCCAGGATAAGCCACATGCCTATAAATCACATGGGAACAGGGCGGTGCTGGCACAATACCAGTGACGGACAAGGGCCAGACAAGACAGGAGGCACTAGAACTGTCAGGTAGTCGTCGAGTACAGAACCACCCCTCAGCCCCATGCATGGATGGACATCAGCCCCCTTTGAACTTGTACACTCAGGAAGAGGCGGGAGGCAGAGCACCTGAATTAAACTAGAATTAAGTTTCCACCACCAATGGATGGAGCAGAACAGAAATTAAATTCGGTTACAGAAACATTATAGAAAATTAAATAGGCTGTGCTCCTGAGCTTTCGTGGCCCCAAATATCATATCCACTGCATAAAAACATCAGCGATCCTGGTCTCATCATCTTGCACATAAATGACATTTTGTGAATCCCTAATCATCTCCGGTTATACTCTTTGTCAGACAACCTACAAGTTCAAGAGCTACTGCTTCCTTCTGAAAGATGAAGGAACTGAGGCTAATGAGGTGAACGTAGATTCTAAAGTTCACGGATGACCAAGCCAGGGCTTAAGCCCAATTTGCTTAGCCCAGTCTTCCTTCCAAGCTTCTCCGCTACTATCTCCACTCAGAATCACAGGAAAGCAAGCCAAAATGGTTGTGGCATGAAGAATAATACTTAAAACACATTCTTGGGCCTCTACCTGGCCACCTTGTGGTGATACCTTGGGAAGTCACTCTGCTTCCCGAATGGGCAGGGAACCCGCTGCCCAGGTTTGTTGTGAAGATGAGTTATTGGAGGCAGACATGTCTGGGGAACTCTAAAGTGCTCTAAAAATATAAGGTATTATTACTACTTTTTTTTTTTTTTTTTTTTTTTTTTTTTTTTTTTTTTTTTTTTTTTTTTACCAAATTGAGTTTCTTAGAAGAGGAGCTGTAAGAAACAGTTTCTCTATGCAGAAATGCCAAAAAGAAATGAGGGAGATTTTCAAGTTCAGTGTAGAAGTGGGTGTCCCCCATGTATTCTGAAGGCACAGAGAAGAGCGTGCCTTACCTCCATTGAGCCCTGGAGTTGCAGCTTTAACATTAGATCCTTAATCTAGAGAGGAAGGTCTTTGACAACCTCATCAAACTGTTGAATTTTCTCTTAACCTCCAGGGAACGAATGTTCTTTCTCTCTCTCTTTTTATTTTTCCAGTTCACGCTGATGAGAGAGGGAAAAGAGACAACTCGTACCTAGACACACACACATGTGTACATCCCTCTGCATTCTGACGTTTCGTTCTTCTGGGACACCTATCTTCAAGGAGAGGGAGTTTAATTAGTTCGGGAAACGGAACTGATGAAAGAAGGAAATAGAGGCAGGCAACTCATGCCTTTCAGAAATATCAGCTTTCTGTTGTGGAGACAACACAGACGATGTGGGACATCCTTTTGATTTGCATGCCCACTGACTGGCTTTAAGACTAGGGCAATTCCTCCTCTCTCTCAGAGGGCCTCAGTTTTCTAATACGCAAAATGGGGGTTGGTTTGCAATACTCTGACGTAGACAGCCGCTGTCACCAACCCCCCTTTCTGTTGCCTGTACCCTACTTTTCCTTGAGAGTCTGTGCCCTTCCCCCAACTCACTACCATGTACTGGAGGTGCAGCTGGCACTTGGCCAAAGTCTCGGGTATGACTGGGTCTGGGATGAGCCCAGTGTTTCCCCTTGACCACAGCAATTGGTACAGTGATGGGCATGAGGATGAAGGTGGCCCAATGAGATGAGATACTGTGACTAGAGCTGGAGGAACTAGGAAAGAGATGTTATTGTCCTACAGGACTTACTGAATGGGGACACTGGCCAGTGAATGACATGGTTCGGAGGAAAGTAGAGTGAAGAGAAGACAGATCCCATGACATTGTTTAAACCCCTTAATCCTACTGTGCCTAGACTTCTGTTAGATCCAATACATTTACTCTTTTTGCCTAAACTAGTTCTGAGTTTCTATCACTTATAATCCCAAGAATTATAATAAAAAAATCTCTAATTGCCCATCCACTTCTGAAGATCTGCTGATCTTTGAGTCTAAAATGTAGTTTAATTGCATTGTCTCAATCTCTAGAAGCTTCTTCTTTGTATTGGGCTCCCAGCCACTGTCTATTTCCCTAGCTGTGGTGCAGGAACATTAAGAGTGGAATGTGTATTCTATTTCCTGTGGTCTCTAGTCCAAAGCAGGAATTCACATCCCTGGCCCCGTTCCTCCCTCCATCCCTTCTTTTTTTCATCCTTATTTACACAGACAGTTGGGGTGTAAGTTGAATCGACAGATTCCTGGGTTCTCTCTCAGTTCACTGGGCAGGATAACCTTGAAAAAAGGCAGTTTGTGCTATAAATGATTACAGAGGATATAGCAGATGTAACAGGTACATGACAACAGTGATGATCCTTAGAACAGAGTGGTCACTTTGCCAAGATGGGGAAGGAAAAGAAGACAAATCTGGAAAGAGATCTACTTGTTTGCTACACTGGCTGGGTGGTTGGGGGAAGGACCTTAGGCAAAAGGATGGCGGGAGCAAAGGCTCGGAGTCATTAAATAGGCAAGTATGTTCAGACAATTACATCGAATTCATTCCACTGGCCTTAGTGTAAAATGAAGCAAAAGGTTGGAGAGGTTGGAAAGGGCCATATCAAGAAAGCACCGAATGCCAGGTGAAGAAGCTCAGCTTGTAGGGTGACGTTTCTCAAATGGGTTTCCGTGACACCACTGCCTCCCCATACATACAACACTCATTAAATTGTTACAATTTTACACTCCTGGGCCCTAACCCCTCTATCGAATCAAAATTACTGGTGTGGGACCCTGAAACCTGCATTTTAAGGATTTTTTAAATTAATTTTTAAAACATTTATTTTGAGCGGGGAGGTGGGGTAGAGAGAGAGGGGAGAGAGAATCCCATGCTCGATGTGGGGCTCGATCTCACAAACTGTGTGATCATGACCTGAGCCGAAACCAAGAGTCGGAGGTTTAACTGACTAAGCCACCAGGTGCTCCTGGAACCTGCATTTTAAACAAGCCCCCCTAGGTCATTCCTATGAAACAAACCAGCCAATCTGGGAGCCTCTTCTGTAGGCAACAAAGATCCTCACATACCTTTTTCTGTGTCCTTCTCCCATGCCAGATACTAGAGTTCTATGCAACCAAGTCTGCCATCCTTCTCCATGCCTTTGCTTTAGCCATCCCCACTCTTTTCTTTGTTAAGTTTATTTTATTTTGAGAGAGAGAGAGAAATAAAGAGAGAGCTTGGGAGGGGCAGAGAGAGAGAGAGAGAGAGAGAGAGAGAATCCCAAGCAGGCTTCTCACTGTCAGCCCAGGGCTGCACGTGGGGTTTGAACCCATGAACCATGAGATCATAACCTGAACTGAAACCAGATGCAGATGCTTAACCAACTGAGACACCCAGGCACCCTGCCCACTCTTTTCCTAATGGAAGGTGACTCATCTTTTGAAGCCAGTTCACCACTAACTTCCCCACTTTCTACCAACTTTAAAATCTCAGCTGACACGTTTTCTTCTAGACATCTCATTGACATGGACCCATTGTGTTCACAGAGATAAGACATGCCCTATCTCACTCCCAAATGGACAGTAACCTACCTGAGGCCAGGAGCTCTTAAGGATGTATTGCATATTGGGCCCTAAAGTGCTGCTATTTCATTCTTCCAACACTTCTACAAGGTAGGTTTAATTACCCATTTTACAGATGAGGAAACCAAGGAAGCCTGATGTGCCAAAGAGGACATAGAGGTAGGAGCTATGAGTAGTGTGATTCTCCTTCACAAGCCACACCCCCCCCTCACAGGGAGGGGCCTCCAGAGAGCAGTCTTAGCACCTGGGCCAGAACCATGTTCATGGGCCAAGGGCACTTACCACACATCCTGAGGAGTCCACCTGGCGGTCAGACACGCACTTGAAGTTTCGAGTACAGCCCCCATTGTTCCGAGAGCAGTCACGAACTGGCCCAAAGGAGGACAGCAGGTCGTTGATGGTTTCGAAGTATGTGGACAGCATCGCTTCCTCCCTTGGAGACAAAGGGGATGGTTAAACCCCAGAGACATGTGTATCATTAGATTAAAAAAATTAAATATGCATTCATCACATTTAAGATCGTCATTCACGATACTTGTAACCAAGAAAATGATACCAATCCATATTTGAGAAAAAACTAATAAGAAAAAAAAATTAACAGGTATGCCATCATATGACACAATGTTTGTCTACTTGCGATCAAGGGGAATATATTTGGGACGCTGCATTCTTTATTCCATCAATCCCCATAATTTGGGAAGGCAGGCATGAGATTTCCATTTTACGAATAAGCGGACTAGGGCTCAGAAAGTTGAATGTCCTGCTGAAGTCCACCCAGCTTGTAACGTGGCAGAATTGAAGTTTGTGCCAAGTTCCAGCTGAGTCCAAAGATCAAGCTCCTCCCACTATACAACTCTTAACTTACATTACATATGTTTCTACAGATTCCAGACCTCCCCATAGCAACTCTGCAAAATGGGTGTCTTCCTAATATTCCTACTTTTGATATAAATTGAAATTATACAAGGTATCGGACTTACCCCAAAATACCAGCCAATAAATACCAGGGCCAAGGCACAAACACAGGACTGTTTGACTCTAGAACCCCAGAACTGTGCTCTTCATGCTATCGCATAAAAGTGACACCATAGGACAGCTGTTGGAAAGGTCACGGGATTCTAGGAAAATGCATCATTCCTCCCAAATGAAGTTTCCAAGGGAAAACACTGGACTAGGTACCATAATTTGTGGATCTACCAAATTTTTTTTTTTTAATTTTTTTTCAACGTTTATTTATTTTTGGGACAGAGAGAGAGACAGAGCATGAACGGGCGAGGGGCAGAGAGAGAGGGAGACACAGAATCGGAAACAGGCTCCAGGCTCTGAGCCATCAGCCCAGAGCCCGACGCAGGGCTCGAACTCACGGACCGTGAGATCGTGACCTGGCTGAAGTCGGACGCTTAACCGACTGCGCCACCCAGGCGCCCCTCTACCAAAATTTTATTAGAGGATATACAAAATGTTATTAGAGGATAGTTTCTGGATGCTATTTTCTGGCAAAAGAGCCCCAAATAAGGATATCCTAGCACTGGAGCATCTGTGATGCCCACAGGTGCATGAGATACTAAAGGGACACCATGGACAGTGTGAAGAAGTACACATTATCCCATGATGTAAGGCTCAAGGAATCCAGAAATGTGAAGGAAGGGAGATGCCCATGGACCATCCTTCATCCTTCTACCACTGTTTTCCTCCATAGGCCTGGAGTTCTAGGTTTTGGTGTCCTAGCTTATTTTCTGTCTCCGGTATGATCCCTTTTTGTGCCATCTTCCGTACTGACTGCCAGAGAACTTGATAAATTCCAGCTCTAAATTAGAAACCTCATTGATTAATAATAGTTCTCCATTACTTACAGAAGAAAATCTAAATTAGTTTCCTTGGCATTCAAGGTCCTTCATAATTTGGTTCTGCCTACCTGTCCAGCTCCATTTACCTTGTCCTCATATTCTCTATTGGTGAGCCACAGGTCTCATTCCCTAAACACATAATCTTAGGTTAGGTTCTCTGAAAACAGACTCTGAAACAGTTGCATACAGCAGGTTTACCAAGGATCCCTCTGACATACTCTTAGAAAAGTAAGCAAGACAGGACTGGACAAGGGAGACGCTGACCTGCCATGTGGTTAATGTATGTAGATCTAAAGCCTCACCTTGTCCTTAGGGGAGCTCTGGAGCTGGGTGGTCCTTTAAGGATTTCCTGATTAGAGGCAAGGGACCAGCCCTCTGCAACACCCTGTTGGCCAGTCACTGGCCAAAGGCTGTCATCTGGTATCCTTGCACAAGGCAGAGGGCAATGACCAGTGAGGAACACAGCTGTGTGGGTCATGAGCCACGGTCCAGGGGATGGGCAGATCAGCCCTGAAGAAGGGATCTGAGTATAGTATGCACCTTCACCTCTCTGAATCTTTAATCATGCTCTTGGGTCTAGGATGCTCATCTCTAACTTTTCTCCTTGACAAAATCCTAAGAATCCTTCAAAACACTTCAAATCCATCCACCCATCCATACATTCATGTATTGCATGTGCTTACTGAGTGCTTACTACATAGCAGGCACTATTCTAGGTACTGCAGATGCATAAGTGACACATGACAGAGGCCTTCCCTCCACAGAGCTTGCTATGACCTCCTTTGGGAAACCCTCTCTATTTCGCCCAACCAGAATTAATTTCTTGTCCCTCTGAGTACATTGTTTAAATCTATTATCTCATTGATCTTAATCATTGGCTCTATGGTTTCCCAGAGAGACCTTAAGCTTTTTGAGCAAATGGCTCAAGAGTAACTCATCCCCCTCTGGCCCTCAGCACAAGGCCTGGCAAAAAAAACCTGTGATAAGCAAATGTTTTTCAGATAAGACAAAGAAAACATTGGAAGGCTTGGATGCAGATTCCACCTATCATTGGTTTCACCAAGGGTCTCTCCAACAGGACACTCCCCTGTCCATCCCCAAGTCTCGGATCCCCTCCCAAGTCTTTCATGATCAAGTCTTTAGTATAGGGACAACAGAGAAGATGGCAGGAGAGCTGCCAGACTATCCCTCACTTCCCAACTTTACACAGAATGAGGTCAGGGTGGCAGGTGAATGGGGGAAGAGAATGAACCGCTCCTGAACTGAGGCTCTTGATAGACTTGCCATTTGGGAATCATGGAAAGAGCTGAGGATCCTGTGAAGACATTAAGGCTATTAAAATATGAATGACCTTAGAGGAAGAAGAAGTGAGAAGTAAAAAGAGGGGATAAAGACAGAGGGAGAGACAGGCTGAGAAAGTGTGAGACCACATAAAGAGATACACATGTAGAACATTGCTAGAAAGAAAGAACTGGATGGATGGACAGGATGGATGGATGGATGGATGGATGGATGGATGGATGGATGGATAGATGGGTAGGATGAAGGAAAGAGAGGCAGGAAAGAGGGATGAAGGAAGGAAGGACAGACAGAGAGACGGAGACACCCAGAGGAGTGTCATATAGAGAGACTAAAAAAGAGGAAGATGAAGGCAGAGAAAGTATGTGAAAAGAGAGACAGAAATGAAGAGCTAGATTAGGGAGAAACCGGAGTAAGAAACACCAAGATTTTAAAGGAGAAAACATTAAGGTAAACAAAACAGGGACACTGTGTATGGAGCAGGGGGTGGGGAGGGGAAGGGACGGGGAGGGGTGCAGGAGATGGGCACTGGGACCTGGAAGGAGACAGGCTCAGAAAGAGAATGGAAGAAGAAAAAGACCCTGTGTAAATGGAAGAGAACACACACAGGGACCCAGAGAGCAGTCAGAGAATGACAAAGAAAAACAAAGGAGAAAAGAGAAAAACAAGCAAAAAATGTCACCTTGCAGTGGAACCTGGAGACAGCTCAGGCTGTACAAATAAGGAGGCTGTTAGCTTTTGAAAGGATTGATTCTGCATAAACATCAGTTACATGAGGAGAACATTATTTAAAACACAAAGACCTGACACTGGGGCTGTTACTGAGTCTAGCAGTGATTGTGTCAGGCTACAGAAATGAAGAATCATCCTGCACAAGTGAGAGAAGTTGCTCGAGGCAGACTCTGACATTTTCTTAACTCCAGACTTAATCCCTCATCCCAGCTGCTGAGTCTGGGACTTGGGGTCTGTGGGAGCTTAAAGCTGCCCCAGTAGCCGAGCGCAAAGGATCAAGGGACTAGCGCTGCAGGTGGAGGTGGGCTGGGGTGACAGAGAGATCTGGGTGAGTCACAGCTTTGCCAGAAATTGCCATCAGCACTAACATCTTCATCATCTGTAACTTCCTGAACACCTGCTGTGCATGGAGGGCCATGCTAGGTTCCTTCACTGTGCCCTCTCCTTTGATTTTCACCGTTGTCCTATGACACACATTTTTAATCCTACCACGCAGCTGGAGAGACTAGGTCTTGGGGGGTCTCGTCACTAGCCCTTGTCCACGAGGTGGAGAGGCCGGGGTATGCACCCAAGTGTGCCTGATGTCAGGTCCTGAGCTTCCTCCCATGCCATAGTTGTGCTGGGCCAACTTGCTCTGGGCCCTCGGGATAAGTCAGAGCTCTCACAACAGGAAAGCCCATAGAAACCTGCGTCCAATCTCTGTGTCTTTGAGGAGGAAGAACCAGAAGGGTAGAACGTATACAACCTCTGCATATTTCCCAGCACTGCCTCCTGGCCTGTGTACCTGCCACAGTAGCCTCTATCCGTCTTGGAATAAGACGGGGCAACGTGTGTACTCATTTCCTAGAGGTGCGTAACCAGTTCCATAGACCAGATGACTGAAAACAGCAGCAACTTACTCTCTCCAACTTCTGGAGGTTGGGAGTTCAAACTCAAGGTGTCAGCAGAGCTATGCTTCCTCTGTAGACCCTAGGGGAGAATCCTTCCTGGTCTCTTCAGAGCTTCCCATGGCTCCTGGCAACCCTTGGCATCTCTTGGCTTATAGCCACATCAGTCTAACCTCTGCTTCCACCCTCACATGGCCCTCTTCCTGCATCAGTGTCTTTTCCTCTTCTTACAGTGACACCCTCCATTGGATTCAGCACCTACCCAAATCCATTATGTCCTTATCTCAATTATATTGGCAAAGACCTTATTTCCAAATGAGGTCATGTTCTGAGGATCCAGGTGGACATGAATTGGGGGGGGGGCATGACTCAACCCACTATTCACAGCTCACAGGAAAGCCCTCAGGCTTACACAGTAGGACAGAGCCAGGACTAGAACCCTCTACTCCTTGGCTCTTTCTCCAGTGCTCCTAACATCACATCAGCCCTTCCAGCTCCAGACTCTGCATGTTACACGATGGTATTTACAAGGCCTATAAAGTCTCAGAAAAAGAACCATGATGAAACCACTTCTTCCTCATTGGAGAGGAGAAAAGACCAACTTTCATTAAGTACCTAACATCCCAGGCAGAACAGGGGTCAGCAAGCTTTTCTTTATAGGAATCCAT